AGTTATCTACTTTACTTGATGTGATTATATATTTATATTTATATATATTTGTTTATTCCCAGAATAATTCTTAGTTCTGTCATACTTTCTGTTGTAAGTTTTTCTTAGTTATTAAACCAGCAATTAATTATGTAGTTATTAGTGACTATCTATAAAAGCTAATTTTCTGAATTTTAGTTAAAAACAGTGACCTGTAAAAATTAGACATGTCGGTCGTGAAATAAACACTACCAATATCAACGGATAACGGCTGCTCACTTTCCAGAATTGATTGGCTTGTGGATTCCAACGGAGCAGTCTGAAGTTTGGGCGTATGACATGGGCAGTGAAGGTTATAGTTTCGACGATTGGTGTGATCGTGAATGTATATTGCTGAATAGTACCATACTAAAGCAAGCATCTGTCCAGTATTTTCTGGTTTACAGTGGTTGTATAACCAAAGTCAGTCAATGATGTGAAGCTTTATATCCCATCACGTATCCGCTAGTTATAGTTTTATCTATATTTTGTCTAAAATCACTTCAATAAATCTTAATATGTACAATCTTATGGATTTTCTGCTAGCATCCCAAATTAATATGAAGATACTTTGAAGATTTTCAAGTTATACATTAATGCAATGATTTCGTTACTGGGCATTATCATTGCCGGTCCTCATCATCTGTCTGGTTTTCAATCCGTAAAAGTTGCATGGATTAAAAAACTAACAAATTAGAAGTTCGGTTTAAAATGTAGTTAATATATGCACTTCAAAGTCATATTAAATTTTTCCGCTATGCTATGTCTTCTTTCTTTTAGAGATTCGAAACATAAAATTCATTGCCTATTGCCTATCAAACAACTTTTATTAAAACATAATCGTGTGTGTAGGTTTTTTAAGTCAAGTAAATGCGACGAAAAAGAGATGTGAATTGGATTTACAAAAAAGTAGAAAATTTTAATGGGGAAATATAAACTTTTCTCAGTAAGTGACTATCGAAAGTCATTAGTATGCTCGAAAATAGATTCTTTTCTTCAGTAATATCATATTTCAAAATATCGTATTGCCTACAACTAGGAATGATAAATTACCTACAGTTTAAACTATCCCTAACATTGTTATACAGTACGGGTCAGGAATTTTTCTTTTGATTTAACCAAACTCGGGGTTTAATTAAACTTTATATAACTGTTGAGTCTATAAGTTCTGCTATTTATTAGAATGATCGTAATCATCGGATGAATATTTCAAATAATTTTTCATATGATCTAACTGGAAATTTTTTACTGTGATCGGAAAAAAAACCTCTTGGGAAACTAGCTGGTTTTTAAATCATAAAATTAACGTTAAACTATGTTTTTAATTGTAAGAAATAATTTTGTACAATATGCAGATATTTAAAGTAATTAGATTGTGAAATAGTACTTATCCGCTATCAACTAGTACCCGACCAAGTTCTGTCCATCATTTCATGATGCAAATGCTGGTTCAACTGATCAACATTCGTGAACAACAATGTGTAACTTTAGGTGGCTGGAGGCTAAAAGGCTAAAATCTTGTCAAACATTAGCTTCTTCAACTTTTTGAGTATAGTTAGTTTATGAATCCTAACTGTAACCAAGACTATTCCTAGAAATATTTACCGATTCTCACCTGCTACATTGAAACAAAACTCTTTTTAACTCTAAATAATAATAATAATAATAATAAAACACTAGACTTTCAAGCATCTGATTTGTAATAAAAATTATATGATTTCATAAATCAACTATTTATTTTAACACAGAAAAGACCTCGACCTTTTACACAAAACAAAAAAATCTACTTTTCAAAGTGAAATTGATCAGAAATCCATTTATTCATTTAAATGACTATTTTTGTTATCACGCTTAAGTTCACTAAAAATTTTTTTAAAAATAATATTAAACTTTAAATTTTGACCAGGTTCCAGGAAGATAATAATGTTATGCAAAAACGAATTGATCACCGGAAATTAATGCAATATTTTGTGTAATAAAAATATACACTGACTGATATTAAAAAACAAAACATAATCAAGCAATTATCAACAATGATAGCTAATGATGACCTTATTTCTATCAAACGCTTAACTTGGTAAGCTGTTCAGACCTATCAGTCATTAGAATACAAGTAGTAAAAAATACTACAATTTCAAATAACCCTTGCTATTTCTTCGGCTCAAACATGGTAGTAGCCATTCTTATTCGAATTAATCAAAACAATAACGGATGGGATTTTTTAATACTTTTATAGAGGAGAAACTTCAAAGATGTCTACTTCTCAGAAATTCGTGGAGCTTAACAGGCGAACTGTATAATATTTTGTACTCATAGAAAAAAATAAATATACTCAAAAGATATATGTGTATGTCATGAGGGATTGTTCAGAAGCCAAAAATATTAGGAACTGAACTGGTAGGTATTTGGAGTTCTGATCACCAAAAAGGCTGAGACTCAATGGTTTGACACCTGACAAGGTCGTATAAAGATGGAACTGAGAAATACCAAGTTCAAACAGAAGAGCTGTATAGCAGCCCCTCGATATTTAGTATCCACCCAATTGATATCGATCTGTAACAAATTTCCACTTCGGACGATTTGTCCCAAAGAGTTAGTCACTCTCTGTTTAACTGCTATTTAACATATTTGACACATAGTATAAAAGAAAGTTACCTTCCCCTTCACTTCGAAAATCTAACTTTGATGTTCTGAGATTCTTTTCAGTTTACTTTCAAACGCTGTTTCCCTAAACTGCTGTCGAACATTGGTTTTCCCACTGCACTATGTTCATCAGTTTTAAAAATCGGTTCTTCGATAACGTGCTTCGTTTCTTCTTCATTCAATCATCCGTTCTTGATTTTAGCGTAAATCCATCAGCACGCGACTGCAGCCCAAGATTTCATCGTCTTTACAAACCTTCCCTCATTATTAAGAGTTATAATGCGGCGACTTCCTTTGAATTGAGGATATGATTTACACTGATCGATTGAAACTGATATATTAACTCCCAGCTCCGATTTTCAGTTGCGTTACCAGATTAGAGAATGTATGAATTGTGTTGGTTGCGATCAACTGATCACAAACCCACATTACTGATACAATGTTCTCAATAAGCGGGCATAGAAAGAGAAAATAATGAGTCAGCGAAAATGATTTATTTTATAATGACAAAGTAGAGGTCTCATAAACAAAATATATGACACAGAGTGAACAATGGACGAATTTAATCCAAAATATAAATACTTGTAAGATTCTTGTTTCTTAGGCTTGATTATGAAGGTTTGTTACTGCTCGCTGCATTAGCTTCTAATTCCCAAGTAATCAAGCCTCTGAAACTAATGAAGCGTGCCTCTAATTGTAAGATTGAGTTATCTTTCGTCGAATTTCATGATTAGTACCGATTACTTAAAAGTTGCAAATATGATTTGTTTATGAATGCCAATTTACATGTGACTTAGGTTGAACGCTTACTGAAGATTACCTTCAACCATTTGAACCTATCTGTTTATATATGATTTTCTTAATAACCCGAGCAGAAGAGCGATTGAAAAAGGGCACGGATAAAAAAGACACAAGCTAATAAGGGTGACTATCAAACGGATGCGTTCTAATATACGTGATCATTGAAAGGGCGAATAAGAAGTTTGATGATATGAAATATGTTCGATTTACTTTCTATCCTTTACCTTACGTTTTTGATTGATCGTAAGGTAAGGGACAGATGTTAAGTCGAACATATTTCACATTACCAAAATTGTTATTCGCCCTTTGAATGATCACGTTTAATAGTATACACCCGTTTGACATTCAACCTTATTAGCTTGTGACTTTTTTATCCTCACCCTTTACCACATCTCCTTCAGCTTACGCCCTTTTCGAATGGACACCAAGATTTTCCTTGGGTAGTTGATTCAGTTTCTGCTGATGTTAATTTTTATTTAGGTAATGTATGACGGAGATTTTACTCACTTGTATTTTAATGCATAAAACTGACCTCTGTTCATATTCTGACCATTTTCATAACTCAAGTTTTAGTTTCAACGGGAACTTTTATATAAATTTGTGCAGAGCGAAATTTAATTAATCTACTTTTCTCTAACAGTCAAGACATTCATACAGTGAGCAACATTTGTATTCTCAGACAATAAAACTGAACTGACTTAGCCAACTGGTAGCTTGTTTTTTTACATTGACTTTATGACGGGTTTTTTCATACAACCTAATCGCTTGATAGATTTGAATGAAGAAAAGAGAACAATAATTGTTGAATATTATATTTTAGAGTTTCTCATTATTTATTGTCATTTACAACTTAACCCTTTTCCACTCCCTTTTAGTGATTTCTTTAACATGTAAATACTAATCAGTCATAACTGTCATATTCGATATCTTATTTCCTTTTACTTCTAGTGTTGGTTAGAACTAAACTTCATTTATCATATTATGTAATAAAATATTTTTAAAATGATATTATTAATGTAAGTTTAGACTGGCTTTTTGTTGCAAAATTTCCGTTAGTAAAGTTAAACATTTTAAACGTAAAATTAAAAAATTTCCTTCCTTTCATTGACTTCAAGTATATAATCTTTTCGTGATACTTGAATACATTTTCGATCATTTTGTGTGATATAGTATTTTTATATTTTATTATAAACTTAGGTGTTCCAGTTCAGTATCACTGGGATTGAATATATTTAGTAAATGATGTGGACGTAAAGAAATGATTTTTTTCTGCTGGTTTATCTTGACTTTTTTCAATGACTCAATGGGTTTTTCTTTTCAAGAAAAATATCTAATCGTTCAATTACTTCAGTGATAACTGAATCCAAGCTTTATAACAACGAACATTCTTCACCATACATTGTATACACTGTATATATATTTCAAAGAAAAGACATTGTAAGTAACATTTTGATGTGTAACATAAAAACACGATCAATAAATGAGTGCCTTTTTTTCCTCTGTGTTACTACTGCTTTTACAGAATCATAAAATATGCATTTTTATTGAAAATTCATGCTGTATTATTTAATGTTTCTTTAGTTCAATTTAAATTAGACAGTAAAAAAGTAACTGGTTACAATGAATTTCAATTATTCAATATATTTTAATATTTCAAACATATATAGATATATTGCTTTAGTTTAGAAAAAAAAATAAATAGATTCTGTCAGTTGATCATTTGTGATAGATTTCCCATAGATTAGGCAAATCATTTATCTCTCTGTTGGTTGTGGGATAGGAATTTCGTTTACCAAAACGAAATATTTGTCGACGTTTATATGGAGAGATGACTGGATTTCGAGGATTGTATTCTAATGGATCCCATACTTGTAGTGGATTATGGTCTTCTGTAGAAATTAGTGCAAAAAAAATTAGGTTCATTAACATTGTTACAATGTCATTATCAATGCAAACTATCAAATTAGATGTGTTTTTTTACGGATAAACTAACATATAACATTCTAGTATGAAAATGGATTATTTTAAATTATTTTGATACTCAGTATTTGACTTTCTAATAATTCAGTTCATCAAGTTGATATTGATTGTAAATGTCAAAATGACAAGCAAATAATATTGATGTGAATCTAGTTGGGTAATGTTAATCAAATGCTTGATTAGGAAATTATGTAATACATGAAATTATATAAACCAAATAAGCAATATTTTTTCTTGAGAGCTAAGTAAATTTTTCAAAAGTATAAAGACAACATTACTAATTAGTGTAAATAAGTTTCGGTAGTAAAAACGTAGAAGTGAATAGGTTGTCTACATAAAGATGTAAAGAGTTGTTTTCCGTAAAAAGATAACTGTCTCATCATTAAGTGCAGTTCAGCCAACAGGGAAAAAAAGATTGATCGTTTGGATGTGAAACTCAGTGAAAGAAATGTAAGTTTATCAATGCTACATTCGGTATTTGGATAATGTAAGCTATCTAAAGTAAGATATTTTCATTATGGTTGATTTATTGTGATGTGTATTTCCTGTAAGATAAATATTTATTTCATTAAATCTCTAAGAAATAAATAATATCAAGACACACTAAAATTTGGTTAAATGTCTGTTACAAAAACAAAATATATTTAGCATTCATTCATACAAATGCACAGTAAATATAAGTGAACTTTGACTGAACATCATGTGTTAATATGTTTGCACATAGTATAAGTGTTATCAATAGGACTCGTTTGATTATAATAATGCATGGAAATGAGTATTAATTCATGGGGACAGTATTTTAAAACTTGTTACTTATTCAAGAAGGCAAGCTGTTTCTCAATTGAATATGAAAAAATTCATCAGCTTCACATAATAGTAGCATTCATCCACAGCTATTGTTAAATGAAAATCCACAAATTTATCTTTTGCTGGTTTATTGTTTACTATTACTGAGCTGAAGCCTACTAAGTTTTCGCGTTTTGTTTTCTCCAAAAAAAGTGATATGTTCAATGTTTGACAACACTGTACTTCCTTACTGTATAGAACTATCTATGATAATAAGTATATTTCATATGTATGAGGTTTGATGCTGAAAATAATCAATGTTAAATAGAATAATGAAAAGTTCAAAGTATTCACTAAATACCACATTCACAAGCTGAAGTTTTAATTGAACATATTAATCACAGGTTTCATGAAATACATATATTTTTATTCGGTAAAACATAATTCCAATCAGTACCATTTTTAACATGTTGACACAACTCAAACATTTAATCCATCTTGAATAACAATATCGAAGAATAAGAAATGCTTATTTAGAGTAGGATATTTGCAAAACCATTTGTAGTACACATTTAAATTAAGTTTCAAATATGTAGATACATCATTTAACGAAAAATAACTTGGTTCTGTAGAAATGCTTAACTTAGACAATAGACACTTTTACTCGAATTTTCAGTGAAGATTAACTCTATAAACAAGAGCTATCATCTAGATAAAAAACATAATACGCACTTTAAACTTCCCGCTAACTCTTATTGTCAGCAAGTATTCAATTAACATTCTGTTAAGTCTCTCTACAGCTATTAGTTTTCGCATCCCTCTACTAATCAGTAGAATATCAGTTAGTACCCAAAAGAATATTAATCGAATCCTCTGAGATTCTTGGCTTTCGGCTATAATACTTATAGTATTACTAAGAGATCAAGTCGACACTAAGATGGACATCTATAAAAGATGTGAAAAGCTTGCAGCTACAAAATATTGAATATTAGACCTCCGTTCCATAACTGAAATGTATCACAAGCACTGCAAAACCTCAGAACTACGCACTAAACCTTGTTCGCTATTTGTATTTTACACATTTGGAGAATATCTAACATAAAACGATAATTTTTTGCTTCTTTCTTATCCGGTTGAAGCTATTATTTCTATACTCATATGTTTTGATTCATGTAGTTGTTGATAGATATACTAAGATAATTTGCGAAATTAAGCCACAAAATTGAAATAGTAATATGAATAAGCAAAAATGCAATTAAATTAAACGGCACACTTAACTAGGTCAGTCGATGCCGAAAAAAGTACAAAATATTGACATGTATAATTTATTAAACTTAGGTTAGAATGAACATATTGTTTGAACTTGTGTTTCTGGTACATCAGTCAATGCTGACATATATGCTAGTGTATATATTCCCTTAATGAACGGTAAAAATTTGTTTTAGAATTCACTGCACTTTGATGCGTGAGTCAAAACAGTAAACTGGTTAACAATGTAATCTTTTAAAAAGTGACAGATAAATAAGTAGTATGATTTCTTCACTTGAATCCATTTTCATTGTCAGTTACTATTTGGACGGTTCGTTTGGGAAACTGATGATAAATTTAAAAAAAGGATAAAATCCACAAATTTCTACGTTCAGGCTTCTTAACCTTTTGTAACAAAAAAGTCAATTTTGTTCCTTTCACCCACTTTGGAGCTAATATATTATGAAATGAATTTTTAAAAATCCATTCATGAAATCACTTAACACTTGCTTACTAACATTTATGATATTTATAAATCAATGAGGGTTCTCACACAGCAAAACAAAATATGATGTCGACTGAAGATAGAGATTCTACTAATTACTACCAAATAAAAAACTGAAATATCATGGATATTTATTGTCCGGTCAGTTTGATGACAGCTTTAATGAAGTTAAAAACGCTTTATAATATCACTTTTGATTATGGTATCTTTGCAGATAATGAGTGTATAATGACTATTTACAAACCGAAATATCAACAATCTTGTGCACTGAAAAGTAGGTTGGACTGGATATTTGTCCCGTCAAATTGGTGCCGCATTAAAAATAATTACAGACCCATTTATTCATATCTATCGTAGAGAGATATAGAGTAGGAGCATATGTTTAGCTAACGTTAGTTTGTAAATTAAGATTTTTCAGCTGTTTTATTCTAACAAAATAAACTTGTTATTTCTCATAAAGTTGATCAAAACTGAAAATTTTTTGAACTTAATTGAAAAGACCTTAGGAAATATATCATGTGTTTCTTATTATAAATTCAATAGAGAAAAATGCAATTTTTAGTCAGCTGAATGAAAAAATTTTCAATTATGTTTAGATAAACAATTTTTTTCCCTAGAATCGTTTACTTTCCAATACAATTTATCTTCATTTTACCAAAAACTTTTTATTTTTCTTCTGCAAGCCCATTTCTTCGCATTCATACATCAACTTTTCAGAAAACTTTGGTTTAATATATATATATATATATAGTTACAGAAAAAAACTTAGAGATTTATAGAAATGTTATTGTTGTAGCTAAAGAGTGGAAAATAAATTTTCATCAACTAATATCTATTGACAATAAGTTAGTTAATGATGGTTTAATAATTAAGTGAATGCCTTAAAATATGTTAGTAAACTCTTGGTGTACGATGAAACTCACAAAATGATGAAAGAACTTTAGTCTATATTGAATGTAGAAAATACAATAAATGATTGTCTAGGTAATATAAAGAAAAAACTTGTAATATTGAAAAATAGCTGAATGTAAACTTTGACATTATTAACTCGGCGAAATTTCACGTGGATCTCAAACTGTTCAAGGTTCAATAATGGAAAATTACAGCAACTAACTGATGATATTTTGAATATGTAACCAATGTGATCTAGTTTTTCGGTATACCTGAGTAGCACGAAACTCATTTATAAAATCATTTACTACATACATTTTCTGTCTAGCTAACTGGACCAGTGAAATTTGGCTAAAAATTTTCAGGACGTAACGAACTAAATTTGGTACATATCTATGCAACCATTTTGTATTGAGAATTTTTCAAATAAAAGCTTTTTTTATATGATATTCCTGTTAATAATTACCTTCATTCATTGGTAAATTTTGATACAATGAAGTTTTATAATTCTGTTTACCCTATTCATATTATATCATTACAATATTATTCATAAAAACTAAATTGATAATAAGACAGACAATTTAAATCCGTCTAGGTTTAAAGTTTAGTTTATTGCTTCAGTTAATCCAAAAAAGAAACTACACATGAATAAGTTATGTAGTTATTCGTATACAATAATAGGAAACAATAACATCAAGCTATTTTTCAATGTGAAACTAGTCAACACAGCTTATCAGTAAAGGTAAGTTTTAATTTTTCAGAAAATGTTCAGTTGATTCGTTGGTACAAAGTTAAAACCAGTTAACCTAGAGGACACGATCATCTTATAGGTTATATGCATCAACTAAAATAGTAAATATCTTTTTACTTTCTATTCTATGATTGATGGGTGATAGATAGTGTCTTCAAGTTAAATATCAAACTATTCGTAAAACGTAAACATAGGGAGTTCAGGCTACATTTTCTTTATCTGAATACATACAGAAACGCTTAAAACACCCTGTTACAAAAATAAAATAACATTACATTTAGCAGTAGTGTATATATTAGAATAGTGAATAGTGAAAAGTAAATTAAAATACATTAGTCATACGGTGTTTAGTTGGCATTCATAAAGAATTCATTCAATTTTAACTACCTCTTACTTATTACATGAACAGTATGTCTTGAGATGAAATCTTTTCAAAATAATTCATAATTTAAGCATTTGATTAGCGTCTCACGTTCCTCGAGAATATGAATATCACAGACATTAGAATAAGGTACCTTAAGATGTGACTGTGTTGAATTTGGAAAGTAAACAAAACTACAAGATTTAAAACAAAAGCTTTAAAAACAGCTTTAAATATTTTCCGCTAAGGATTTTGTCATGACATCAGAATTCTCTCACAAAACATGAATTATTTTGCAAAGCATGAAGAGTTTCTGCATTTCCATTTCTTGGTCAATGCTTTTTTTTACACGACTAATGTTCATGTGATTTCCTGTTAATTATCATCATTAATTCAACTGACCATGTGTTTTCTTATCATCAGTCAAATAGAGAACTTATAAGAAACACACATACTACATCATAGTTTGACATATACGTAGAATAATAACGAGATTGTTATATTTTCAAGACATGTCCGTCATATCTAAGGCAGGAAACAAATAAGCCAGTCACAAGTTCATATTTGTTTAATTTAGCAATTATGAAATATTAATTTCTATGAGGTCTGTCATTCAATATACGAGGTAAATCAATCATCATAGAAAAAACGGAATGATGTCACCAAACTCAAATGATAATTTTTACACTTCGAGACACTAATTAAACAAATGAACGGACACGTAAAAAGAAAGTGTAGGAGTGTTAAGTATTCGGGTATTTTGTCTACTCTAAAGTGTACTGTTAACTTTCAGTAAATGATGTAGGTCATGCATAAGATATCGATATGTACTGAACTAAGAACTAAGGAAGTAACTGAAAATATAGTTTTTGTCACTGGCACCAATTGGAGAAGTAGTGAAAATTGGTAAGCACGAGATAGCCGTTTAATCCTACTTCATAATTTACCAGTTCCAATGACTTGTGATACAACATTCGAAGTAATACTAAACAAATGTCGTCCAAGTGACTTCTGTCTGTTGTGAAATCTGTTTTTGAGAGGCAATTAACTTGACTGAACTACCATGATAAGAGAAGCGAAAATTAAAATTTGACATGATTGTCTATTCATTATGATACATTAATATTATTTCTATTTTGTTAAACAAAATGATGTAAATACTCGTATGTCATCTGATCAATATATGTAGGCGATTTAACGATTTTCAAAGCTATTGAAAAAATCCAGCAGTTGGATACATTTTTACTTTTGAATCTTTCAATTTGTTGTTTATATTGACATTAAAAGCTACATTTTGATGAATGAATACTGTTTATTTATTTATTTGATAAGGCATATTTACTTTTGATTTCGTAAAACACATACAGTTTTACTCTATAAGTAGAATTGATTAGTTAGTGTCTAACAATGTAAACCAGGACTCCAAAAAAGTATAACTGAAATTTAGTCCATAGCATCAATAAAAGGAAAAATTCAAACACTTTAATTAAAACTTTAATTAAATTATTAATTATTAAGTTTATCATTACGTGCTAAACCTCTGATGGCTGGACTACATTGTAAACTTAATATTAGCTTAATTTAACAAACAGTTAATGTTAAGTAGGATTTAGCGAAAAACGTTGACATGTAGACATATAAACCAACGACAGAATTCTTTCTGTGTACTCAAAACAAATAACAACATACTGTATGATAAACCAGTTGAAAACCTTCAAAAACCGTTTGAAGAAGTACACTACTGCTAGGTCAAATGTTTTAAGTAAATTTAAAAAAAAAGACATACTATTGCAGTTCAATAAAAAAAAATTTCGTCGACCTACCGTCACAGGAAACTTGACTCAGGACATATAAACTGATCAACAATTGTAGAGCTATTTTCATCATTCTAAAATGAAAAAAAATAAAGCAAATACGATTTCAGCACATGAAAACACCATAAGGACTTGATAAATCCAAATTTATGAATTAAGTAAATTGAAATCGGAACCTCTTGTGTTATCGCCCTATGAAAATTAGTTATTTTCCAGATCCATTTTATTTCAAAACTATTCAGTAACTTAGAATACACAAACACGTTTTCCTCAATGATGAAATTGCTGAATGGATGATATGTGTATAGAGACTACATCACAGATTGAAATGATTTGATACTGTAAGCTACTAGATCCAAACGTATGGTCCCTATAACACCTTGACACGATTTTATATGAAATTATTAGTGGGCGCCCTAAGGAGTCTCACACTTAGACGAAACGGCTGTCAGTGATTTCAAATTATTCGATATCTGATGTAGTATCTTTATGATTATTTCTTCCAGCACTGTTTTCATCGTTATTTTATCAAGGCGTCTGTACACTTTCAGTATTTTCAGTTCGGATCATAAATTTGTATATGAATTCAAGTTGAAGAATTTATCACTACTTTAAGAATATTCACGTGTAAATTTATTCACTGGTAAACGCATATTTTTTACACTTTCTTGGTGTGATTTAGTTTATATTGAATTAGTTTAGACAACTGTATTCATCATATAACTATTAGAAATAGTTTTTCAAGTAGTTCACTTTCTTTTCTTTATAAGGGAAAGTCGTTTCTAACGATTTATCTGGGGATCAGGATTACGAATAAAATCCCTCAAAATATAGACTTTATGTAATCTCTGAATTCCAAACTTTATCATGCCCATATATACAGTTTCTGAAAATGAATTAATTACCCACAGATCTTAACATCTTAAACCATTGTACAGTCACTTATTATACGTTACTGAGTTCTTCGATTGTTAGTACAGTAATTAATTAAAGATTCTACAGGAACAGTGTTCGTACCAGCATGAAATCTTACACGATAGTATATAGTTACAGTTGTTAATGAGTAGTATTTCTTGAATAGGGTAATAAATTTTAAAAAAGTATAAAAGTCGGAAACATAAATTGAACATCAGTTACAAATAAATGTAACTGCTAGTTATAAGTAAATAAATATATCTCGTGAATTTATAAGGCACAGCTGACATGTCTATCCCAACTCTTTCGTCAATAATTATAAACTAAATTGTAGCTTTTATTACTCAAAAGTCATTTTGTGTAGAATTATAGTTTCACTGTAACATATTAACTATCATACGGATTACGAATAATGAGAAAAAAACAAAATACTTGTTAAACATTGATTTATATCTAGTAAAAATTTAGATGAAATTTTGTGTTGATAGATCAATCGTTTTGATAGCATACTGTAAAGTCTGCTTAACACAAAAGTGAAAGTTTGTTTAAAATCTGAACACCAAATATCAACCGAATACTCTATCGAAGATAGAACTAACTAATTTAATATGTGAATGTTTAAGATAAATGAATATGTTATTCGTATCCAAATTATTCCATTAGAACGAAATGACTAAATGATTTGTTAGAAATATGCAAAATTTAAAAATTATTTAATCATTCTCTACATCTAGCAGTAACAACAAAATATTTTTCCGATTTATCTTGACTTTTTCAAAATTTCATACACAGTAAAGCTGTAGCTAAACCTCATGAGATAATCTTTAAGAATGGACTAATTATAACTTTTATAGATGTATTTCATTCAAGTTATTCGATTTCTGAATTACAGTTATACTTCTCTGATCGACAGATATTCAGTACCAACATAATCTAGTGAGTGAAATGAAAAGAAAGATATGAGGTGAATCTCAACACTTTGGGGTGAAGCGAAATAGCACTGAAGTAACACTATGAATAAGTTTTTCATTGGCACGTTTGTCAAAAATAATGATTTCGGGAAAATTACGGAAATGTCACTTTAGCCTTTCACCAGCCCGGTAATCTACAACTTAAGCACTGTTTGAAAATGGTCATTATGCATTAGTCGTATAAGTATTATTCAGTTCAATTAGAAATAATTTATCGGAAATTTTTATTTAACGTTTTTGTTATTCCTTTTTTTAGTGTCATAAAGAGAATATGAAAGAAACTTTTTACCGATGCTCTCAGCAACAATGAGTATTATAAACTGCACAATACAATCAAAAGTTTTTCATAGTGATTTGTATAAACTGTTTTCTTGCTTCTAAGATTTTCGCCGCTATTGTCTGGAAATATATTAAAATCTTCATAGCTGTGTCAAATATCTTAGAGAACATAATTCCGCTAAACATCCCCATTCCAAACAAAAGATTTTCTCTTAAATTATGCGAATAAAGTGAGTAAAATTTAATAATTTTGTGTAAAAACACCCAGAAATTCACTTATTTCTCATCGTTTATACAATAATCAGATAAAATCATATTCCAGGCATCCTATGTAGAATGACTGTAATTTTTATACCATAAATCCTCTGGAATACTGTTTCATTTGAAAATGTCACGAATTCCAACAAATTTAACCAAAATTTCCTTCTGTTTTAGTTAAAAATATTTTTTTCATCAGATTTGATTAGCTGGGTCTTGTATCTAAATGTCTCCCGAAAGCATTTTAATGCAAAAATTACTACGGTACTGTGGTTGTTTGAAAAATAAAATCCTGGTAATTATAATAAGTTATGTATTCGAAAAAGACATGAATAGCTAACAGGGCAACGGATATTAAAATGTTCATATTGTAGGTTTCATAATTTTTATACTTCTTACTATTGATTCAGGAAATCATGAGATTGTATAAACTATTTCATCATATCAATTTAATGACGTCTGTCAATTTCTAATCAACTGAGTCAATTTACAAACGTTTTATTGATGATACTTGTATATTATTCGTATTATAAAGAAAAGGAATTTAGTAACTTTCATTGCCACAATAGTAACATTAGAAAATGATGTTTATAAAAAGATATTTTATGTTAAGTGAATCCGCATATCATACATAATGAGATAAGTGTAAAATTATTTCTATTAAGGAAAACCTAATATCAGACTTATCTGCATCTGCGTTAGCATTTTTTTATTGTTTTTACAGGCCGACACAAATCAATAGTTCATCAAGTGAGAATTGAACAGGAAAGAAAACCAACAACTGTTTTTTAAAGTTGTGTCTTTTACTATACCTGATAAATGGTTGGGATAAATATTGTTCACTGGATGACTTTTTCGATAAAGCACATTTGAGAATTATATAAATCTACTAAAAAATACCACTGAATGCCTAGAATTAAAAGTAAATCTAATCTTGCTCCAATTTTTTCGTTAGATCATTATGTTTACATTAACATAACTAACTTCAAATCTAATTCTACTATAAGTTTCTTATTTTGTTTTATTCTTAGTCTTATGAAAACTATATCGTTAGATATATCATTCAAAATGGCTTACTTGATATAAAGTATCAATAATGAATACTTTCGATTTATATTGGATCTTGATTACAGATTACTTTACAAATGATTAATAAAAACGGCAACAAAATATTTGATATTTTGGAAATAAACCGTTAGTTTTAAGTAAACAATAGCACATAAATTAAAGTGTTTTATATTTAAACATGTACGATTGAACAGTATTAGTCTGAATTGTTTCATATAGTTCTTCTAGAGTAAACATCTAAACATCTCTTTATGTCCTAGTCAAGCCGAAATTAGTAAATGTTTTATCTGTCCAAGTAAATTGTTTCTGGGTTATTTCAAAATTTATGAATTTATATTGCACATCGCTATATAGATACGTGATTTGTTTGTAGCCATCTATTTACTTGTCTTTACTACATATCATATTTTTGTTCAGATATAAGGCGATTCTTCCTCAATTAGGGTGAGTATACTGGTGGTGGATTTCCTACTTGATTCTATTCGATTTGTTTGTCTTCCACAATGTATGTATGGATTATGTGATTTAATATACTGTAGGCAAACTAAGACAAATATTGCTAAATGTTTGACTGTCGCTGAACAGTAATTTGATTTCACAAAGAGATAAAAACAGTGGAAACAAATAGTAAATCCACTTAATGTTGATAAAGTATTTAAAGGTTATAATGACCTTTTTATTTCAGTATTGTTGATAATTACGAATTTCATGGTTCCATAAGGTTTGCATAATAAAATCTATGGATCGAAATCGGTTTTTTTCAAATCAGAATATTGCCAAGAATTTGGAAATTTAACTTGCAATCTTTTAATTTGTGAGAAACAGCAGATACTGTTTTTCTGAGCTAAACGGCTGGTGTGCATTACTATCACTAATGTTAAACACATCACTGGAAGAAATAGCTTACGTCTATACATGTGAAAATTTTGTTAGCGTACTGCGCTTTTCACCCTTAGGCCATGTATATTGTCAGTAAAAACATTAGAACAACAGCGAACGCAAAACTACCGAATTCATTCTCCTTAAGTATAAAGCCTCTTCGTACTTTTTAACCATTAATAAAAAAGTCTGACTATTTAGCTGCACAGTCTCAGATACACGTGAAACACATTTCGTTGACATTTATTTACAGCGTTCTGTTAAGTGTAGTTCACGAATGAAGCTATTAATATTTTTGACAGCCATTTTAAAAGAACCGATAATTAGAGGTCATATGAATACGAAATCAGTTGCCCTAATTATTCTATTGCAGATCAATTTTTAAGTAATTTAAATAAACACTCGGCTCTCAGAAAGAAAGTTACTCTATTTTTCGGAAATTTCAGCATATTGAACGTAATATATAATATTAATTCATAAAAATTATCATAAGCCTATGTGGAAATATATATGGTAATCTGAATCGAGCACATTCATTCTCCAGAACTATGATGAACTATGTTGTAACATATTTTGATTTTGCTCAAATGTATTAATATATATGCCTAAAATTTATTTTCATTACGTCCCAAAATGAGGTAAAAACCATTTTGAACCAGAGAAACACTTGTCTGTAAATGAAGATTCTTAAATCTGATGATCATATACTGCTCCTAACATCATTAAGTAAATGAGCCCTGATGTAGCGCGATCTTCTTTCACGAATTTGGGTAATTTACTGTTCCAATGATAAATTCTCGGTTAGACTCCTGGAAACCGATTTTGAAACTGAAAAGGCAATACAAGCGAAACCTATAGACTGACACCTTGAAAGCCATTTTCACCAGTGAAAAGTCACGAACCTTACGAACAACCATGGAGCAAGATATTCTTAATGTAACCAAAAGCTTGTCATTTATTAAAATTTTATCAGATCCTAACCATTTCACTCTCAGATTTAACAGTAGCAAAATTTCGCATACATATAAATGAAATACTCGAATATGAAAAACTTGGATAAACAATTTATGGGTTATAATTTCAATAATTATTGTTTTCTTCAGGTTATACAAAGTTGTAATAAGATGAATTGACTTACGAATAAGAAATAACCATCAAAAAGTTTATTCAATACTTACATAAAAAATTTTCTTCTTCCACTGATCATCTTTAAATCAAATTATTATTTTACTAACTAAGTTTAGTAAGCAGAAATAAGTTATCTGTTGATGTTGGTTTTATCCCATATACTATGTTGAGTTATGAATAGAAATACAGATCCGTAAAATATATCATTAATCTGGTTTCCATGATTGGTTGGCTTTATCATCCAATCAGAATTTTGATTTTAAATGTCAGTAAATAATTATTCTTTCTTGAGAAATAGAGGCTATCGTTATTCTGTACGATTTTTATGTATTTTAAATAATCTTAATAATTTTTTGGGCGAGAATGATTTATTAAATGCTTCCTAAGATCCAGTATGAATTGGTAAAAAATATTCAAGAAAATACATAAGATCAAATGGTTTTTGTTATTAGAATACCATTTTCAAAACTAAAATATTCCCGTCGTCTGCTTGGGATAATATACATTTAATTGACATGTCCCTTTCATAAGTTCACACATTTTTGAAAGAAACGTTACTGGCTTTCGGAACGAATTTGTTTGTAGTCCACCATCGTGAACTAAGAAAATTGTTAACTGTTCATCTTAATTATGAGGCAAACGGTGGAACTGAAATTTTGCGTTTACTATGATAACTTTTTATTCTGACACAACTTTTTAGAATAATTTAAACGAGAATATGCTGTTGCATTAATTTGTGTTTACTTATTTTTCTCTGAAAAAATAACATGAAAGCGAAAGTGTACACAAACAATTCATATTCTGAGACTACATAATTATGAGCATTATGAAACATTTTGAGATACTGTTTAGAGAATGTGAAAACTTCTACTTATAATAACAAAATATTTGTATCCTCTTTATTTTTAAAGAAAACTATTTTTATGCGTTTAAATGCTTATCATTTTTAATAAGAAATAATTTTATAATCTAACAGTAAAAATCTCTTATTATTTTTCTAAATCAGCTTATACGTTGTTAGGGAATTTCAAAAAAACGGTCAACAATTGTATGATAGGATGCAAATTTAATGTCGATTGAGATTCACGAGAATTTTGCACAAATGTGAATCTTTTCACTTCAGAATACTATAGTTATTCCCATGGATTAGAATGAATTAAGTAGTTACAGACTATATATTCTGCATTTCTTGAAGGACTGAATTAAAAAGATTATTACTCACGTTTTACAGCTGTATGCTTCACTAATTTACATCTTGATGTCTTCTGAACATTCTACAAGATTTTTATATAAAATTTTCATGACTACATAATATCAAATTTTATGTGCAAATTTCTAATTGAAATAAACATTAGATTTACATATTAGACAAAAACAAAAAGTGTTTCGAGATTATCGAAAGTAACTGTTGTGAGATAAGATGAACAAGTGGGCTAGGTTCAAATTATGCCGCTTTTTTGAAACAAGTTTACCTTGAAAAGAGCAATAATTTGAATGGAATGATATGATTTCACGTTATTGTACTTGATTCGTGTCAGCTTAATTTGACCCATAAAAGTTCTTAATTAAAAATTATGGATTTAGATTCGAGTTCACACATAAAGTCATTGCGACAGGATCAAAATCACTTCAAATTCAGTTAGCATCAATGTTTGTAAAGTAACGTATATAACTCAACAATTTGAATTTTCGTTCAAACAGTTCACTCGCTCATTACAAACTAAATAAAAAATTCTCAGTAGACATTGTTTTTTCTATCGGAATATTTTTTTCAAAGCTTTAAAAAACTCACAGAAAAGTTTAATAAAACTCCAAAATTTCTCATAAGTACAACTATTGCTTCAAGCTAAAATTATTACCATTTAGCATGGATAGTTTTATAGTGTTATAAGCGACGAAACAAATAAAAACTTCATATCAGTTTTCACGGATGATGCTAACTTCGTTTTCGAGAGCTAAAATTGATTTTGTGAATAGTCCGACAGGATTTTGTTAAGACTACAAATTTTCAAAACAAGTAAATGTATCTAGATATATGTGATAGTGTGAATAATTATTAAAATTCAGCCTTTTCCCTTAAAAAATACAGAAGTTTGGCTGAAAAAGAATGAAATTTTCATGTAAATCCAAAAACGTTATTGCTTTTGAAATCAAGACCACATTATTCTCTGGCGAATTTCAGGGCATACTTAAGATATGACGTTAATACTATATACGCCGGTTTATAACGAAAACAACACTAAGAATTTCAGTAATTGCACTGTCATCTACACTATCTGATATACATTTTTATTTTTGGAATTACTACAAATTTAATGAAGTGGATTCTACATAAGCACCACTTTGATGGAAGTGACCTGACTGTCAACACATGTAATAGTTAATATGTGTAAGTTCATTCAATGCCTAGTGCTAAATACTTATAATACTTCTCTCTGACCTTCAAATCCACAAAGTTTCGCATCAGTCTACACATATTCACATTATACTAGAATCTGGTTTTGGAATGAAATAATTTATTTCTAGTAGTAACTATAATTCACAAGTATACAGCTAAAGAAATCAGGGGATGATGATTATTTATGTATGCACATTTATATATATATAAAAATGGAGCACATTCGATCATGATTTTATGGTAGATAATACTTGCGCACAATAATGAAGGTATTGATGATCTCAGCGGTGTTCAGAGTGTTTCACTATGGCACGTTAATCCTTATGTATTCAAGTAGCGACAGAAAATCCATAGAGCTAAAACATGTTTACTATTAGATTACAGACTTATCATCACTGCTGTTTTCGCCAAAACTTTATTACCAACCGGATTATGTCAATCGAGCTGCAGAGTGCTTACCACTTGGTCGAAAATCTTTGTTCAACATTAGTAAGTACAAACTTACTTTCTGCTGAAGTAAAAAATAACTGTGCAGATTTGACAAACAATAAATTAGTGTGTTAAGTAGCCTTGGTAATTGTAAATGAATAACCAAGTGAAACACTGAAACTGATAACCATAGGTGATCTAGAGGGAATTCAGCAGAAATGAATTGTGTCTAAAAGAAGTATCACTTGATCAAATCAGTCACAAACCACCTACTAGTTATCTTGATATTATTATTACAGTAATAAAGTATTTGACACATATGGTCATTAAGAAATCAACTGTTTATTCTGATTATACGTTAGTTTATTTAAGTATTGTAACAAAAACAAATATTATTATGTTACAGTTGCAATCAAACGCAAATTAATAATATCTAATGTTGATATTATGGAAATGTTTAGTAAAGTGATTTCGTAAACAATTAGTGAATAGCGAATTTGAAGTTTCAATTTTCTAACTCACTGTCTATTCAGGAACATATTGATAATCGCTATAAACTTTCATTCATAACATTCAATATCAAAGTATCCTTGAACTTTATAAGAAGAGATAGATTGTGGCTAGTAATGGAATCTAGGATGTTCATTGGGTCTCTTTCATAACTCATCAGATTGATGCATCTACATCCCTGAGTTGGTGTTCACTTCAAGACTTCAACCTAACACCGTTTGCTCTAAACACATTTGTGTAATCCATTTAGCTACTGATCCCAAATAGCTACAGGTTTGTGCAATGGATCCAACTGCTAGCCACCATAAATCTCTGCCCAAAATTCCAATGACTTAGTGTTAGTATCAAGGTAGTCAGCTGAAGTCCTAAACATCAACGGAAAGATTGAAACAACCAAAGAAAAAGAATTATTATTTAGTTTACCGATAAAAACAATTAAATTTCCTAGTGTTTGTTGAATACTTCAAGTAGCAATTCAATGAGAGACTTTGCATATGTAAACGAGTATATTTGACCATAATGAATGATATTTTGACCAATGCCTAGGTTACACGGATATACACTGCAGAAACTACTAATTGAGACATTTGTTGCAAGTTTGTGGCTCCATATTGCAGTGGTTTATCTATACTAAATCTCTCTACATTGACAAAAAAAATACACTGAACCAACACATAATTTTCCATTCGTTAATGTGTTAATTCATTATAATTTTTGTTTTTCAACACTATTAACTAAAAGACATTTGTGAAACTGAGTTTTAAAATTGGTCATAATATTGGAAATATTGTTTATGTGGCTGAATTTTCTAGAATATATTCATATGACTTTTTCTATTTCAGCCAACGAGATCGAGAATATCAGTAGAATTAATGCTTTCAGATGAAGAAAGGTGTCAATTGTATACTTTTATTTGCTAGTCCATGAAACGTCAAAATATCACAGTCAATAGATTGATAATACTTTTTCATTATATACAAGTCAACTGATGAAGTAACTGGAACAGTTGTCTCCTATCGGTATTTTAGTTAACATCAGTTCACCAAGGTAAGTAAAAATAATTTTTTCCTTAATTTATACCTGAGTTTTAATTGTAAAGAATATACTACTAATAATGTGAACTTTCATAGTAGCGAATTAATTTCAAATTTATTTGTTATAATTTACAAATAATTTTAAAAATTATTCATATTTAATCATCATATTTATCATCAGACTGAACTGAATATTCAATGTATAAAATAATGGTCAATCGTACATCTAAATAAACAATGGAATTAATAACCATAAATAATAAATTTGAAATATTTTTCTCCAAAACAAACGGATTATTTATGACGGCAATGCATAACTATAGTTCTTTTCAACTGGCCTACAGATGAAGTAAGGATTATTTGACTAATTGAATATTAATGCTCCTTACGTTCCTGAACATTTTTGATTATTATTCGTATTTTTTAACAAACTAAACAAAATTTTAATATTTTATTTAAAGAAAATATTTGCGAAATGTGAAGTAATAAAATATTAATGACGAAAAGTAAAGTAACTGGTTTCTGTGTTTCAAAACAGTGAATAATATTTTGTTGAAGTATTTATTTGTTGTTAACCAGTGCACCATTACTTCAAATTAACCGAAAAGGGTGAGAAACTTACTCTTGCTTCACAATGTTGTTTATTTATTGGAACATTTATATTATAGGCTTCAAATGTTAAATGTTATTAAAAAATTAACGGTATGTATTCTAAACAGAATTTTGTACACTTTGGATCGATTGAACAATTTGAACACGATTGACGGCCATCAAAAGTAATTTTCAAGGGTGTAAGAAAACTAA